ATGCGAAATACTTCAATTTCCCTGAAGAATCGCCAAGAAACAGAAACATAACATGAATATAGCACCAACTAATAACATATATAGAGAACATTTTTCAAACGAAAATGACATCTGTAAATTTTCAGAACATGTGAAACAATACAATACTTAATAAACTTGAATCTTATATTCCCCAGACTATTGAAGAGAACTGGCCATTTATGATCCACTACTAATGTAACAATTAGCTAGTAGAGAACTAAATACTAATTTGTTTCTGTTCAGATTGTATATATGTACTCACACAATTACCTCAAGATCTCAAATAGTGCACATAATCATGGGTTAAGGCAAGTGCAGAAAACAAATAACAGAAAATTCTCCAATTCACAATGTCTGATTTGGACTTACCAGGTTTGACATTAGCCAACCGTATGCAACCAGATTTTGACCAATTCCAAAAAGAAAAACAGGATTAAAAAAATGTAATGGATTCTCAATCAGACAATGAAATAGGTAAATCTATTATCTTTGTTTCTTTCCTTATGAGGTCCATTTATCCCCATATATTCTGCCAATATGTCAATTCTTTTATTTTAATACGACCAATACTGAAATCATGCAAAAACAAAAAATTGAAAAAGAAAATCTTGGAGTTCTAACATCTTTGCACCTGAAAATAAGGCTCACCATCATTCAAGATAAAACAAGCAATGAAGAAATGGGACCAAAGATTTCTTTAAGAGTATATTTTAGGCAAACACAAACATTTGGATGGTAAACTTAATATACTGTTATCTTAAAATATATATTGTTCAAACATCTCAGTACCCGAAAATAAGGCTCAAACATCAAACAAGATAAACAAGCAATGAAGAATTGGAAGCAAAGAGGTCTTTAAACAAAGTTTTAAATGATCTTATACATAATCCTAGTGAAAACAAACCTTGGTCGAAAACTAACCCAACAATGAGGAAAAGAAAGCAAGGTATGTTTGAGGCACAGAAGATATAGTTTTTTTTTAAAAAAAAAAGATAAGTGAATGCGATAACCATCAGAAAATCAAAACACAAAGACAATATCATGCTCAATTAGAAGACTTACAATGACAATCAGAAAATCAGAACCCAAAGAGTTGACAGCAGTAGTTAAGAAAAGAAAATTCTATTAAAAGCTAAAGAAAAACAGGCTCTTAAAATGTCTGACTTACTTCTATCACCTGAAAAAGGCCCCAGAACATATACTGACCGTAATTGAATCAAAATCAATTAACACAATGCCAAAATTAGAACAGTCTACACACAACCCAAAAGTCCATACAATTTGGAAAATAAGCTTACTTAATGTACAAGTTTTTAAACTGTAGAAGGGTAAAACAAGTCAAATTTATGGTGTGCTAAGCCAACCTTACTAGTTATTCTACTCTGATACACTGTACACATAATACTCGGAAAACTCTAACAGTTAGAAACTACAGAGCAGAGATAGATAATTACAGACCAAACAGTAACAGAAACTGCGTCTGCTCCCCATTAGAAACTCTGTCCCACTGCAGGCTTAGGCACATCAGAAAGTACATGTTTTTTTGTAAATGATGAGAACCAAGGATCCTGTTTAACATGTCCAAATAAAAATGGTTTCCTATTTTTATTGTTTGGAGTGCCCTCATCAGCTCTGGAAATTGTTTAAAATGTGGAACTTCTAAGGTTTCTGTTTATTTGATTTTCAGTCATTGATGATAATAAAAGAAAATTTGAGTGGACTTAAATTTGTGCTCATGTACATTGACAGAAAACGTTTGAAATGGTGAAATATTACAATACCAAATGAATCTAACCAGAGCTGTATACAAATTTATTTACCAGATACAGCAACTTAAATAAAAAATTCACTACTGCTTGCTGGGCATTCTAATCTATATATGGTGCTCAAACTACCTCAAGATCTCATAAGATGCAGATAGTATACTTTAAAACTCACTTATAACCTTTCTTCTTCATCAACCCAAGTTCCCAGTGAAAATCATACTAGTATGAAACAAACCTAGATTTTATTTACCATAGATTTCCTAAAAAAGGCTCAAACATCTGATAAGACGAAACCAAAGAACACAAATTGGTAGCGTAGATTTCCTAAACAGTAGCAGCTCTGTAAATTGTTGCATGAAATGTCATTGATCTTTAAAACATAACCATAGTGACAGCAACATAAATGAGACCCCAGAAAAGGAAACAAAAAAAAGAGGGAGAAATCTAAATGCCACAAAAAACAAAAAAAAACAAAAAAACAAAGAAAACACTGATTATCATAAATACAGAGGTGAAATGAAGATGGTGTACCTGATTATCAGAGTCACGGAAGCAAATGCCACTGCAAGGTTTACAAGGAGGCACACTCCATAGTTTTCCTTCATATTATGGCATTATTGACGTGAAGAGACAGTACAAGAAGGAAAAAAAAATTGGGAGGGGACTGACCAGCCAACAACCTTTGCAGCTGAACATCTTTAACAAGAAATCCTTATTAAATCAAAACCAACATAAAGATGCAGAAACATTCTTTTACAAGGAATAATTTGTTGCTCAAGATGCTAAATATTCTGGCTTGCATCATTATCATTCTTTATTAAACCAAAAAGAAGAAAAACTAGCACAATGATAAACTCAGAAAGCAATGTACTTGGAACAAAGAGAAAAAAAAACTTTATGAACAAGCACATACTTTGCTAATGTTTCCAAGATATCTGGATGCCTAGGATTGCATCAGGCAGAGACAACTATATCCACACTGGAAACCTCATCTATAACAAATTAGAAAGTAAATCTTAAAAGAGATTCCCTAATAATAGCAAGATTCTAAGTTATCTATAACAAATTAGAAAATCCTCTTGAGATGGCTTTCAATGAAAGCACCAATTTGTGGGATGTGAATTCCACAAACACTTTGAGATGTCTCATTTAAAAGAATGCAACTGAGTCCTTTGCACACCAACCTTCTCAACCATTCCTATTGATCTTAAAATGTGAATCTAAGCCAACAGCATTATGAAAGTACCAACCTATCAACCCATGGTCTATAGCCAAGAAATCTAACTTATCATCACCTCCCATGTACATGCTCAAAGATCTCATCGTCTTTAAGCGGCATATATAGATCCTTAAGCCAAGTAGGAAGTATTTGAAACCAAAAAGAAAACAGGAAAATGGATTATGGCATCCAAGACATCACTATAGAAGCTATTACAAAAAGATCACTGCACAAACCTTTTTATAGCACTTTTAGAAATGATTGTGATACGCTATGTTATTGAAATTAGCAGTTTCTTAAGAACAATGTTAGCTAAGCCTGAAGAAAAGATAACGAATCATTAACTGTATGGAAGGTCACGAGAAAACCTATTAGAACAATCAATAATGGAATTTTCACTCCATTTTCCTTTTCAATTTAACAGAAACAAATATTATCTGTAATATAAAATCTTTAGCAATTTTACCTGAAATAGCCATGATATAACCCTTATTGAAGAGATGACGAAGGCAACACAACTCCAACAGCAATGCAAACTGCAATCTGTAGCAGCCACCAAGCCAAAAGAAATTGAAAGAAAAAACCATTATAAGGAGCAATCCCAAGCTTCTGTACTAGCTCAAACGTAATATAATATGATACTAGCTCAAACAGAACTGTCGCACTTAACATAAACAACAATAAATATGTATATATATAACCTCTCTTCTTCATCAACCCAGGTTCTCAGTGAAAATCATACTAGTATGAAATTTGGATAAGTGCAGGGAATAGCAAACCGAAAACTCTACAAGGCACAAAGGAGTCTGTATTAACAAACACAAATTTTATTTACCTAGATTTCGTAAACAAGGCATAAACACCTGACAAGATGAAACCAACGAACACAAATTGGTAGCATAGATTTCCTAATCAGTAGCAGCTCTGTAGATTGTTGCATGAAATGTCATTCATCTTTAAAGCATAAATTTAGAAGTGAAACGGAGATGGGTTACCAAATTATCGGGGTTACTGAAGCAAATGCCAATGCCGGGATTAGATGAGTGGGACACACACTCCATAGCAACAACCTTTGCAACTGAACAACTTATACAAGAAATCATTTTATTAGTACAGGTGCGAAACACTTATTCATCATTTCATTCCTTTAATAAATCAAAACAAACTTAAAGATGCAGAAACCTGATTAGCAGGAGTTTGGAATTGCACTATGGTTTATGTTCACAGGGAAAGAAAGGCTGCTGCTGATGCACCTGAGAAGATGGGGGATTGTCTCCAAGTTCTTGATAAACTTCCATGTAATTTTGATTTCAGTTTTATTGCAAACTTACATACTTTTGTCCCTCGTGCCCAAACCATTCGCTCTCAGTTGCATTAGCCCTCAAATAGCAATCACACAAAAACTGGCACATAAAAAAAACGAAATAAACAATACAAAGAGTAGAGAGAGAGAGAGCACAGTGGTCCACTTTATCTGACATGTACAATGTATATGGCCAATGAACATGGATAGCATACACAAACACACACAACAGAACATATACACTTTATCTTCTGTTGTATCCTGGAAAAAGTTCCAAGAAGTAAAACATTTTAGAGAAACGATATCGACGTTGGAAACCTCATCTATAACAAATTATATCCTGGAACATACAAACATTTTATCTTATATGCATCATAACAGTGCATACTTCGCTAATGTTTCCAAGATATCTGGATGTGTAGGATTGCATCAGGCAGATACTACCACATCCACATTGGAAACCTCATCTATAACAAACTAGAAAGTAAAACTTAAAGAGATTCCCTAATAACAAGATTCTAAGTAATCCATCTTGTCAAGCAGTGGGTTATATTCCAAATCAGGCATCTCAACAATAAAAAATCAGAATTACTAAAGTATATATTCAACTACTTACCATATACAACAAATAACAGAGGCAAGGGGGCTTGTAACCTATGTCTCATTTTCCTTGTAAACTCTAACCTGTACTTCATGAGTGGATCTCACCTTCCTCCCAATCGCTTTCCTGCCAGCAGATCTCGCCTTCCTCCGGATCTGCATTCAGAAAAGCCTCCTCGTCCTGACCCTGTAACTCGTCATCTTCTTTGAGGTACAAACCCAAATGCTTAAGAGGCAATCCAAGGTAGACCCTTTCACTGCCACAGCCACACAGAATCTCAAGTTGTTTGACATCCCTTAAAGGGTCCTCAAATTGGACTGACTTCTCCATGTTCAAAACGGCACGGCGAGCCAATTCCCTTTGATCCATCCGATGCATCAATTTTCTCCTTGGTGGAGAATCAGGTAGACCCTTAAGTATCTTGTTTGCTTTTCGTATTGTACCTGAAAATCGCATCTTGAGCGACTGAATTCGCCTAGCCTTACATGGAGAAAGATTGTCTGTGGCCTGATACATGGCATGATGAACAAGGGTGCCCAAGTCATCATCTTTGGTTGACTTAGCTGAGTGAGAATCAGAAACCCCAACAACCTCTTGACTTTGTATAAGAGCCCTACAAGCAGAAGAGCTCTTGCCATTTGGTCTCCGTTTGGGCAGAGGAGGAGTAGGAGGAGGACAAGCAGTCTTTGACATTTTCTCCTCGGCTTCTTTCCACTGGGTCTCAAAAACCCCACTGAGATGCTTGGCTGCTGCACGATTTCTACTCCCAAGGGGGAAATATCTGAAAGCGTTTGAGAAGATAAGCCTGACATCAGCAGCAAAGCCATCAGCGCTGGAGTAGACACCCTTCTCCAATTTCGATTTCACAGTACCCAAATCCATCGGCCTCCAGATTTCGTCGAAATAACCCGGCAAATTCTCAGCCACAGGATCAACAACAGGCTTGTTGAAGTAGCTCGCATGGCCGAGGTTCATCAGAGAATCCAAGACCTTAGAACAATCCAACGTCTCTTTTGAAGCAGACGAAACCAAAACTTTGACTTTGCGCAGAGGAAGACCAACAGTCGACTTTTCCTTCCGTTGGGTCTCAGAAACCCTAGAAGACCTCTTCCTCTTCTGGGTTTGACAGATTTCATCAAAACCCTCTTCTGATTCCGGGTTGGCATTTTTTGTAGCAGACGAAGCCAAACCCATGCACAGAGGAAGACCAACAGTCGACTTTTTTTCAACGGCTACATTCCGTTGGGTCTCAGAAACCCTAGAAGACCTCTTCCTCTTCTGGGTCTGACAGATTTCATCAACACCCAGATCTTCTGATTCTGGGTCGGCATTTTTTGTAGCAGACGAAGCCAGACCCTTGCGCAGAGGAAGACCAACGGTCGACTTTTCCTCAACGGCTACATTCCATTGGGTCTCAGAAACCCTAGAAGACCTTATCCTCTTCTGGGTCTGAAACTGAAACTCAAAGGAACCAAAACCATCCTCCAATTGTCTGCGCTTTATAGCAGACCACGCCATTCTTGATTTCAGAACCCAAAATTTCACACAGTCGTTGGAAAATCACTCGCTCAATCGTTGCAGAGAAAATCACTCGCTCAATCGTTGAACTCAATAGTCTCACTCGATCGCTTTCGCTTACTTGTTGCAGAGAAACAGAGAGATAGAGAGAGACAGACAGACAGACAGACGAAAAGAAGAGGGAATGTATTGTTGTGGCGCTATTTTGGTTTTCAAAATGTAAAATGAAAGGTCGGTGTGATAACTCGGTGACTCAGTTGCTGAGTTGTTGCGCGTAAAAAAGTAAAAAGTAAAAAAAACGTGGAACACACCAAGACAAACAACCATGTCCAGCTGTTTTAATTAAATGCATATCATTAAACCCATTTAAACCAACTGCACACAAAATTTAAAAAGATAGTTTGATTTAATTTATCTATAATTGAAATAAATTATAAATGAATAAATATATTTTACAGATCATGCAAAATTTTAAGAAAATATTTTTCCTTTCCTTTCCTATTGCCAAATTGGACTTAATTTTTTGACTCAACTCACTCTCTATATATTCGGTTAGTTGATTAGTTGAAAGACAAAATCAAAAGACACAAAATGAAAAATATTTTCACACACATAAAGGTAGTGTTAATTTTATTTTTGAGTTTTAAGAATTATTAACAAAATAAGTAAATAAAAATAGAACTCACATACGGCACATCATCGAACTTGATGTACTAGACTAGTATCAAAGTGGGACGTGAAAAGTGAGTTTAGGGGGCAACCTTGGTTAAAGTCTCTTTGAGTAGCAAAGTGAAATTCGGGAAATCTACACAAGAATAACTTAACCTTATATAATCCATCGGAGTATACTACAAGATATTATACGTTAGTACGAATTAGGGATGTGGCAAAAAATCAGCATAACAATTCAAACCAGCCATGTTAAACCAATACCTACAGTCTAGTTCCATTTTTTCAAAAAAAAAAAAATAAATGATGTGTAATTTCAATTTGAAATGAACCAAACCGCAATTAGTTGGTTTATAACATTTCACTTATACATTCCATCTCATACATCGATGTCACCCATTCAGTAGCAAAAATTAAAATCTCCACGTCATTCAAATTCAATGTTATATCTCTCGAAATATCACAATTTTTAGAGGTAAAAGATTTTCTCAACTATAACAAAAAAATAACTGAACCATACCAATCATTAAATGGATTTGTTTTATTCAATGATATAATTAGGTTAACGTCTAAAGTGAATTAAATCGAATCACGTCCACTCTAATATAAAATTGTGATGCTTTTTTTCAATAACATGATATTTTTTTTTATCAATAATATGGGGAGATTCGAACGTCATCTAACATTGGAATATTATTAATAATTAACTCATGCTTGTTATTAAGAACTAAAGTACATGTCTAACCTAAACATATATCCAATATTTGAATAAAAAAAACATATATGAAATATTTACTGTTCTTCTGCACATTTCTAAAGTTGGTAAATTAACTTCTCAAAATAAATATAAAACCAAGGAATCCTAGCGATGTATGTTTTTATCTCTTGAATCTGCTGCGGTTCATAGCGCCCCCTGGGTTTTAACAGCAAGAACAAAATTTTATCAATAAAAATTAAAATGATTGTATGGCAGAACACCTAAAACTACAAAACCTAGGAGCTCTCTCATCCAATAAAGATTAAGATTATGCTGGATAATGTACAAGAAACAAAATTCATCAAGCCAATTACATACAACTACACATGCAAAGTGAGATTTTCTTGCATTTGTGAGAGGAAACCACCACATAATTCACCAATCATTCGAAGCTTAATGCATCATATACTCGTAGGTAGGTTTCCTTGAGAAGAAAGGTGATCAGCAAAATGGACTTCAATTATGCATGTGTCATGGGTAAATAAACTCCAAACATATACATACGCCGGTCATCTTCAAGCTAACTCCTGTTCAACTACATGTTAGCGTGCCCTATTTCTTACATTCCTTTTGACTCTGAGAAGATGCAAAACTCAAGAACCTGCATCTTGTGCAGCAAGACTAACTTGATTGATCATTTGTGGATCTGAAATAACTGTATCTTCTGCCGCTCGAGCAGAATTTTCTTTATCTGCTGCTAACTGGGAGGAGTCCTTTTCATCAATTGAAGCAGGAACAGACTTCTTTTGATCTGTTGCAGCAGGGACAGAGTCCTTTTGATCTGTCCCAGATGGAGCAGCTTCCATTTGATCAGCTGCTGGTGGACGTGCTGTTGGTGAAGTTTGAGACCTTTTCTCTAGATTTGTTTCAGCGCTTTCATATTCGGAAATGAGATCCATGAATTCATTAAGCAATCGCTGTACTTTTCTATTTGAAGCCATTGCCGGAAGAATATCTTCTCGTAAGAGTTTATGTTTCCTCATTCCCTGCAAAAGCAGAAACACAAGGGGTAAATGTAAATAACGCATATAAACCTTCCCAAGGCCTAAAAAAAACTAAAAATTAGTAACAATTAGGTAGCAAAGATTGGATGACAAGAGTTTGTGCCGGGGTATATTGCAACAAGTCTGATACTTAAGATTGTATCATACACCATTGCAATATCAACCTGCAATCAACCAAATCGCAGGTGAAACTACAGTAGATTTACAAATTTATTACAGGTACCGCTTAACCCTCAACAAGCAACCAGAATGAGTAAGAAAATAAAAGAAATTTGAACTGACTCTACACGAGGAGTATCTATTAGGGCCATATCTCAAAAAGAAAATTGCAAAAGAAAAAAGAGAAAATTAGGGGGCAAATGGATTGAAATTTTTTTGGATTCAAATCCCATTAGCAAAAGACACCTAAAGAATTGTTATACAAAGCCTTACAAGCACATAAGGATCCCATGCCAGTTTCTTTGGATCTAAAGGTGTATCCTCCACCATCCCAGTTGGAGGTCCAAGGAAACTCTCACAGACTTCTCGTAAGCGAGACTCATCTGCTTCTCTGAAATCAGTGCAAACATAAAGTTATAATGTATAATGCTACAGACACTAAAGTAAAAATGCATCAAAGTTTAGGATTGCTAAAGATCATAACATCATAAAAAAAACATACATACATACACAAATTATATACATATTATACACACACACACAGAGTCACAAATTTATACACATATTTTCAACCTTTAGATTAAAGCAGTTTTAATGGCTAAGATTGCATTTGAAAAAAAGGTCAATACCCACAACTATATGATTAATTTCCCTTGGAAATAAGCCATTCTCTCGCCCCTCTCCTCACAAATTTCAATGAGAAACCTTGTTTAATTTAATATGTTCTCAAAAGAAATAGTTTTATAAAAAAACATTTGTCAGTATTTTCATTTGAGCTGGAGGAGTACGATGTGAAGTGAACAGCCATGGATTTCTTTCTTCAAAGGATGAGTTCATGAACTTCATACCCATTTCTTTTTTGACCTGCAAAGCTAAATATAAATCATTTGGGAGCTTCTTCTCAATCTACTGACTTAGCTATTACCCAAACATACATAAAGTTTTACAGACTTTTCTTATCAAGTTCAAATCTTGTTTCTAATCTGGATTTGGAAGATAAGGATAACTTCTTCAATTTAATTTCTTTTCTTTTCTTTTTAAAGTCGAAAAGAAACTTATATTACAAATTTATTTATTTTTTATATCGAAGATAAGGATAACTTCTTCAATTTAATTAATCACCTCTCTCCCTTGTTTTCTGTTTTTATTTTATTTTATAATAAAATCCTTCTTCTTCTCCTTAATTTCTTCCCTGTAAAATATTTTCTTGTGCCATTCTGGAAATGATGAAGTAATACATAGATGACATGCACCCAAAACTGCAAACTTTCAATTTTCATTTTCCTCCTTAATATCTTTGTAATCCATCAGACTATTAACAAATATATTTTGGATTTGTCTTAGTTCCTGCAAGATGCATCTACAGTCTGATTTTCTAAGGCACGACAATCCTCTTTGGTGTGTTGTGCCAATTTTTTCAAATGATGCATAAGGAGAGGGCAGGACAGGGTTGGGTCTTGTATTTGTTTTATTTCTTTTCGTTTCTTCGAAAGTGGTTCCTCTTCCAATCTTTTTTCTCCTGAAGTTTGGCCATAGTATCGTGATTGTGAATTCTTCTAATGTCTTTCTCTTTTTCTGATAACTTTCATAACACAAAAGATAAGGCAAAAAAAAAATTATTGGAAGTGTATATGTGGACAGGTGAGACCACCATCTACCTCATTGTTTTCCCAGAATACAACAAGAATTTTCGCAGAAACAATAAAGGAAGAAGAAGGGTCTTGTTTTTGTCACAGAAGAAGAAGAGGTTTTAAAGGGAGAGAAAATGAGGGAGGAAAGAGAGAAAAAAAAGAAGCCTAAAAAGATATTAAATATTGACATTTCCGAAAAGGGAAGAATACAAGGTGTAAAAGTGAAAGAGTTAAATTAGCATTCATCTCCACCGTTGAAAGTGGTTAGATCTAAAGGTCTTAAAAGTGTGTCAAATTTTGTGTTAAAAATGTGTGTCCCCTGATCCTG